TCCCATGTGGGTTTTGGGGCTGATTCGGGGGGTCCCAGGTGGGTTTGGGAGATCATGGGGGCATTTGGGGGCTCGCTCGGGGGATCCCGGGTGGGTTTCTTGGGGTGTCCCAGAGTGGTTTGAAGGTTCATGGTGTGTGTGTGTGGGGGTGTTGGGGGTCTCAGGTGAGTTTGGGAGGAGTCCCGGGTGGGTTTGGGGGTCCCAGGTGGGTTTTGGGGGTCCCTAGGGGGGAATTTGGGGGTCCTGGGTGTGTTTTGGGCCCCCCTGTCCCCCCTTAATGCCCCCCTCTCGCAGGCAGGCGCGGCTGAAGGGGCCGTTCCGCGAGTCCTACCTGTGCCCCGCCCAGTCCGTGAAGCCCCAAATCGACGCCCGGGAGCAGCTCCCGCGGGACAAACTGAACCCGCCCACGCCCAGCATCTACGTGAGTCCCCATTGGCTGCTGGCCGGGCCCCCTGGCTGCTGATTGGCCCCCTGGCTGGATCCCCTGCCTTCTGATTGGCTGCCTGGCAAGGGCACCTGGCTTCTGATTGGCCCCTTGATTAGGTCCCCCGCCCTCTGATTGGCCCCACTGCTGATTGGCTGGTGGGCTGAATGGGGGAGGTTTGCCTGGCTCCCATTGGCTGCTGGGTGGGTGGTGGTCTGTGATTGGTCCCAAGAGCAGGTGCTGGTCTCTGATTGGTCCATGCAGTGGGTGGTGGTCTGGGATTGGTCCTCACAGTGTGTGCTAGTCTGTGATTGGCCCCCAAGACAAATGCTGGTCTGTGATTGGTCCCCTGGGCTGTGTGCTGGTCCCTGATTGGTCCCCACGGTGGGTGTTGGTCTGTGATTGGTCCCTGTGGCGGGAGCTGGTCCGTGATTGGTCCCTGCAGTGGGTTCCGGTCCCTGATTGGTCCCCGCTGTCCCCCCTCAGCTGGAGAGCAAACGCGACGCCTTCTCGCCCGTCCTGCTGCAGTTCTGCACCGACCCCAAGAACCCCATCACCGTCATCCGGGGCCTGGCCGGGTCCCTGCGCCTCAGTGAGTCACCCCAAAACCCCACAGGGACCCCCAAATCCTGGGACACCCCCCTGACCCCCCCCCAGGCCCTCAAACCCTCCCCCCGGACCCCAAATCCTGGGGGATCCCCCTGATGTCCCCAGACTCCCCCCCCTGTTTTGGGGCAGACCTGGGGCTGTTCAACACCAAGACCCCGGTGGAGCCCCCCTGTCCCCATCTCCATCCCTATCCTTGTCCCTGTCCCTGTCCTTGTCCCTGTCCCCATCCTGGTCCCCATGGGAGCCCCCCCCCTCCCCCTGGCACCCCCCAAACCCCGTCCCCTCACCCCCTGCCCGTGTTC